AAGTTAGGGAAATTGACAAAAAACTTTAACTGTTAGTGTAATACTTGTGCTCGTTGAGGTGTTAGAACCCGGTATGCATTGGTACTGAGGCCAGGGGGCCAGGGCAGTGAGGTGGAAGAGCAGAGTGCTCGAAGTTAGCTGTGCCAAGGTTACATTCCTTCAGGGCAAAGCGGTGCACTTTAGAAACTGTCTGATTCCCCATTTGGACTTTTTGCTGTTAGGAGCTGACTGGGAAAAAAAAAAAAAACAAAACCACAGTTTCTTCTATTCTCCCACTCAACAACAATCAACACACAAGACTTCTGTGACCAATGTGTGGGGATTTCTCCCCAGCAACAAGCAATCAATCAGTTCTGCAGCAGACATCAGCTGGGTGCCCTCCAATTCAATTCTGACACTATCTATCTGGAGATAGCGTCAGATCCCACAGGTGGAGAGCTTAGGGCCCAAGACTGCTCCCCTTCCTGCCTTCAGATGCCAGTCACAAGCTCCAGGCTGTTTGCCTGTGTTTTTTTTTTTCCTCTTGAGACGGAGTCTTGCTCTGTCACCCAGACTGGAGTGCAGTGGCATGACCTCGGCTCACTGCAATCTCTGCCTCCCAGGTTTAAGCGATTCCCCTGCCTCAGCCTCCCAAGTAGCTGGGACTACAGGCGCGCACCACCACGCCCAGCTAATTTTTTTGTATTTTAGTAAAGACGGGATTTCACCATGTTGGCCATGATGATCTCAATCTCCTGACCTTGTGATCCACCCGCCTCAACCTCCCAAAGTGCTGGGATTACAGGTGTGAGCCATCGCGCCTGGCCTTCCTTGCCTGTGCTTGTAACTGACAGGCTATAAATCAGGTTTCCTGCAACTCCCCCCTTGGGTTCGATTAATTTGCTAGAGAGGTTCACAGAATTCAGGGAAACACATTTACCAGTTTATTATCAAGGATATTATAAAGGATATGGATGAAAAGATACAGAGGGCAAAACATGTGGGAAGGGGTGTGGAACTTCCATGCCCTCTCCAGGTGTACAACCTTCCCGGAACCTCCGTATGTTCAGCTATCCAGAAGCTCTCCAAACCCTGTCCTTTAGAGTTTTTATGGAGACTTCGTTACATGGGAATCATTGATTACCTCGCTGGCCTTTGGTGATCAACTCAACCTTCAGTCCCTCTTCCTTATACCTTCCCCCTTCAGTGGGTGGGGCTGTACGTCCCAACTTACTAATCCTGCCTTGGCCTTTCTGGTGACCAGTCCCCATCCTGAAGCAGCCATCAGTCATTAGCATACAAAACGACCTCACTTTTGGCCAGGTGCAGTGGCTTACACCTGTAATCCCAGCACTTTGGGAGGCCAAGGTGGGTGGATCACCTAAAGTCGGGAGTTCGAGACCAGCCTGACCAACATGGAGAAACCCCGTCTCTACTAAAAACACAAAAATTAACTGGGCGTGGTGGTGCATGCCTGTAATCCCAGCTACCAGGAGGCTGAGGCAGGAGAATCACTTGAACCGGGAGGTGGAGGTTGTGGTGAGCCGAGATCATGCCACTACACTCCAGCCTGGGCGACAAGAGTGAAACTCCGTCTCGGGGGTAAAACAAAAACAAAAACAAAACACCTCACTTTGGAGATTCTAAGGATTCCAGGAGTTGCTTGGCAGGAAACTGGATGAAGACCTAATACATATTTCACAATATCAGAGGATCTGACAAATGCAAAGTGTTTGGAACAGTGGCCCTCAGGGAATGGTCATTCCGTCCTCCAAGACTATACCTGTAGTGTGTGGTGATGAAAGTTCCAGCCTGTGTCAGCTGTGAGGGGGAACAGGGAGCCAGCCCAGAGAAGGTGATAAAAAGGTAAACAAGGGGCATGGAGTCAGGACTCTCCCCAACCCCCCTGCCGCGGGTACCCACCCTGCCTCCTCTCCTTCAGGGCTGGCATTTTTTAATTGAGAAGTGGATCTCTCCTCCAGAACTTCCTTCTTAAACTTAAACCTAGGAGGATTTTGTGTATTCTTTCCCTAAGAGATGGCATATCTTTGCACTAATAGCTTGTATAGTGCTTTCTACCCATCAGGCACTATTCTAACTACTACACAAATGATAACTAATTTAATCCTCTTAATCCTGTGAAAAGGAGACATTTCAATTCCATTTAACAGATGTGGGAACTGAGGCTCAGGGGGTTTAGTAAATTGCCTATGGTCACACGGTGAATAAGCTGTGAAAGCAGGATGGTACCAGAGTCCACCCTCTGTTCCCTCACCCCTATTGCATCTCAGGATGGAAGATCTGGTTCTTTCTCCTTCACCTTCACTGGCACTAACACACCGGGGGTTCTGGATAAGCCACTGCCCGTCTCTGACTCTCCCTTTTCTTCTCTGGGAAGCAGAAAGTCACCTCAGCCTGGTGGCCTCCCAGGACTGCTGCAAAGACCGGACGTAGGCTTCTCTGGGAGAAAACTGACACAGCATTGCTGGGAGCAGATGTGTCAAGCTGGGCTCCCGGCATCCTGTCCCATGGATCAGGGCCAGGGCAGGAGGCCTCTCTGAGCCCCATCAGCAGACCCGCAACAGGGCTCACAGGCAACCTGAGGCCTTGCAGGGGGATCAGGATTGGGGACACTAATGAGGACGCTGGGAGAGAAACCCCTTCTCTCTGATAGCAGATTCAGGCAGACAGGCATACGCTGTGCCCACGGTCTGCACCCAGGCCAAGACCCTCAGAGGTTAAACAGATTCTTATGTGCTATTTATCGTCTTGGAGAAATTGGAGTTTTCTGGGTAATAGGAAAGCTGACAGACACCAGCTGGTCAGGCCTGCTGGGGACTAGCGGGGGAAAGAGCAGGAACCGTGGGGCCTGTGGGATAGGACTTCACACTCCCTGACTCCAAGGGTGGGACAGAAGCAGAAAAGGGCTGGAGAGGAGCTTCTCCGTGGCAAAGACCCACACCCGCGGGTCTCTCTGTGGCCCACATAGGAGTGAAGGCAGATGCCTGGACCCTTAGAGTTGAGAAGGGAGCTCCTCTATGCCACGCCTGTCATTTTAGAGATGCGGGAACTGAGACTCAGAGAGGGGCAGTACATATCTGGTGTCACACAGCTAGTGGGGCCCAAATTTATTACCAGGATTCCCACGGGAAGCTTTGGCGTAAGGCCTAAGACGCTGGCTGGAGACACTCCCTAGGGGCTGGAGGTGGGAATTCAACATCCAGCGACCACTTGCTCCAGCGTAGACAGCACCACAGTAGGTTCCTAAGTGGGGAAGCATGTCCTGGGGGACCCAGGGAAGAAAGTCCGAACTCCCTCCCCTGGCATTCTAGGCTCCCAGCCCCCCTTCTGCCTATCTCCTTCACTCCACCCTTCAGCCGCCCCTGGAGCATTCCCAGCTCATACTCCTCTGCACTGTCGTCCACACCCCTCTTCCCACCTGCATCCCCTTTACCCTACTCTTCTGATTAACTGAATGCTCCCACCACTCAACGCCTCTGAAGCCTCCATTCCTGGTCTCCCTAGCCTGTAACTTGCCCCTCCTCCAAATTCCTTACTGGAGCTAACAGCGTACCCACTTACCGGTAGAGTGGATGCCCAGATTCACCCCTCAGGACAGAAGCACTTTCTTCTCCAGCTGCCGGAAAGTTAGTGGCTCCCAGGTGAGGCCCTCTATAGACACTGCCTTTGAAGTCAGCCGACTCACCTGAGGAGTCATGGCCCCTTCCCCCATCCCAGTGGATGGCCAGTGATTGATGGGGGCATAAAGGATTTCCCTCCTTTTCCCCCATGTGGGACAACTCCAGGGGTCATCTCAGCTTCAGAGCTTCCTGCCAGATCAGCAGAAGTTACTGTAACTGTGCCTCGGTTCAACTTTTCCTCAGCCTTGACCACATCCCTCATCGGGATTGTTCTCAAGAGCTCACTAATCTCTATCTCAGAATGTTTTCCAGGGCAGCCAGTTTAGGATCCCCGGTAATGTAATGGTTAAGCAGCCAGCCTGGGTTCCAACAAGGAGCAACTGGGTTTAGTTCTGTGACCTTGGCAGAGTTAAGTAACTTCTCCATGCAGTTGTCTGTTAGGTGAGAATAATGCTGAGGCAGTAGCTTCTATCTCTTGTAAGTGCTGTGACAATTAAATGAGATGGTGTGTGTGTTACACGATATTGAGAAAGGTCTCAATATGCATTAGCTATCATTTACATTTAACTTCTCTGAGGCTCAGGCAAATACGGATAGGATATTACTACTCGTGTCGTGGGGTTGTGGGTGAGAAATCAGATTGGGAGACAATGGGTTAGACTTGGTGCTGCTTCAACCTAATACAGACTTTGGGGTCAAGGTCCCCTAGATTTGTGGTCTGGAGGCCTGACCCCTCCAATAACTGAAAACGGTTATATTAGTTTTCCATTACTGCTGTAAAAAATCACAACTTAGTGGCTTCAAACAGCACTAATTTATTATCTGACAGTCCTGAAGGTCAGAAGTCTGGTATGGGTTTCATGGGGCTGAAGCCCAGGTGCCGGCAGGCCGTGTTCCTTCCTGGAAGCTTTAGGAGAGGGTCTATTTCCTGCTCACTCATGTTGTTGGCAGATTCAGTTCCTCTGGTTGCAGGACTGAGGCCCTCATTTTCTTGCTAACTGTAAAAGAGCTGCTGATCCCAGATTCTAGAGGCCACTGCATTCCTCAGCTCCTGGCCCCTTCCTTCATCTTCAAAGTCAGCACAGGCGGGTGGAGGGCTTCTCATGGTGTATCTCTCTGACCTACCTTCTTTGGTCATCTTTTACTCTGAAGTACTCGTGATTGTATTGGGCCCACCTGGATAACCCCTGACATTCTCCCCATCTCCAGGTCCTTAATCACACCTGCAAAGTCCCTTTTTGCCATGTAAGGTAACATATTCACAGATCCCAGGGATTAGGACATGAACATGTTGGGGGCAGCAGGGGTCATTATCCTGCCTACCACAGCCATCCAACGTGGAGCAATCTTTGATCCAAAATTCAACCCCTCCCTTTCCAGGGAGAGGTCTGTGCCGTTTCCTGTGCAGCAGGGACCTACGGCCCCAACTGCTCGTCCATCTGTAGCTGTAACAATGGTGGCACCTGCTCCCCAGTAGATGGCTCCTGTACCTGCAAGGAAGGTAATGTGCCCTCTCCCCCAAGCTCATCCCCCACATACGAGCACACTGCCCAGGTGGTGCTGCCAGCTGAGGTGGGGCTGCCCCAACCCCACCCACATGCAAGGTCAGGAAGCCTATATTGGTTGGGTTCCAGGCAAGGAAACCCATGCCAGGAACTTCAACAGCAGGAATGTAATGAGGGGATTCATCGCAATGTTCAAAGAGCTGAAGAGCACACAGGGAAGGTATGCAACCCAGACATTAACACCTGTGGGAGAAGCTGCTCTCGCTCCTAGGGTTGGAGGAACAAAAGAAAGAGTTCCCAGAGCCTGGGAGTGAAGGGTACCTCGTAGGCACTGAGACATGGAGAGAGGGGGCTGCGCCACCGCCCAAGGCCCCAGACAAAGAGGGAGAGGACACACCTATCTCTCCTGCTTCCACTCTCCAGTCTATGGGCAGGTCTCCCACATGCAGCCCAGCTGGGATCCAGCTGACGGGAATCCTGGGATATGCATCCCGCAGAGGCCAGCCCCCGTCACAAACAGGGAAGTGGGGAAGGGGAGAAGGGGAGAAATGGTGCAGTAGGCAAAGAGGCCGGTGACCAGCCTAAAAATGGAGAATCAGCTGTCCCTCAAACAGAGGGCCCTGAGTTAAGCTGCCAGACTCCACCCTGGGCAGAGACAGCACTCCCCACCTGAGGTGGTACCTGTTCCAGGTAGGATCATCTGCCTGGAGCACAAACAGTGAGCACCCAGAGGCAGGAGACCTGGGTTCTAGCCCCAGCTCTCCTAACAGCTCTGTTGAATTTCTGAACTGTGTGTGGAATGTGTGTTCTAATCCAGCCCTCAGGAAAGCAGTGGTTTGGGTCGGATGCTGTGTGTAGAGCTGGGGGGAGTGGGCAAAAAGACACACTGGACCTGGAGAAGTGACAGTCCCTTTCCCTCCCCTCAGGGTGGCAGGGCCTGGACTGCACCCTGCCGTGTCCCAGTGGGACATGGGGCCTGAACTGCAACGAGAGCTGCACCTGTGCCAATGGGGCAGCCTGCAGCCCCATAGATGGCTCCTGTTCCTGCACCCCTGGCTGGCTGGGAGACACCTGTGAGCTGCCTTGCCCGGTGAGTGCCAGGGTGGGGAGGGACAGGTTGGGCTTAGCATTCTCTCACGCCCTTTCCCTGGTGTTAGTTTGTCCACAAGAGTGCACAGAGAAGAGCACTAAGCTAGGTGATGGGACACTTAGTCCTAGTCCTAACTTCTCTGTGGCTATTTTACTACTTTGGCCCTCATCCCTCTCATCTATAAAATGGCAAATACTTGGCAGATGTGGTGACATGGCATCACTTTTCCCGTGTTGCTCTTGGTAAACACTATTGACTGGCACTCGAGCTCAAATGCAGCTTCAGATTCCTTCACAACCCAGTGCTACAAGACAACCCTTACTAATCCACGAGACTTGCCATTCCTTGGTAGATAATGTCTAAGCTTCCTTCTGGTTCCAACAGTCTGTGCTTTTATGATCAGAGTGTGTGGCGACTAAAGCAAGCACTGTTCAACAATAACCACCCAGACTTAATCACTGGATCTTATAGGTCTGAGATACAAATAAGTTAAACCCACTGATATATTGTTGGATGAGTGAGCAATGCACTCCTTAATGAGTAATTTGGAGTCCTGCAATCCTGAGTTCAAATCTTGGCTTTCTCACATCCTTTGTAACCTTGAGCATGTTACTTCACCTCTCTAACCTTGTTTCTCATCTTTAAAGTGGGAATATAATGGAATCATATCATGGAATTGCTGTGAGGATTAAGAAAAATGAGGTATATGAGGCTTTTGATACCTAATGAGCATATAAGAATTGGTGACTACCTTCTTCCCCAGCAACAAAGAATAAATCATAGTCATTCCTCACATGTGATCAATGTGTTACAATTTGCAAAGTGCACTTTCATTTACAATTTTAGTTAATGATCATTACAGGCCTTTGAGCTTGACCACTGAAAAGTAGAGCAGGAGTATCACCCTCCCTCCCAACTCATACTCCTGTTAATGCAGCCAAATAATTCTTCAGAGTGTCTTCATGGCTGTGTTGATTCCCACTTACAAAACGTGTCCCCATTGTGCCCCAGCCCCAGTCTCCCTACATCCCTGTGGGGTTCTGGCTCAGTGTTGTCATCAAGATCCAGTAGATCTCACTGGACCCTCTGAAAGTAAAAATTAAAGAAAAGATCCATAGAAGTAACACAAACCTCTGGAAGTTTGGGTCTGATCATTTTTCTCTCCCTGTCTTCTCCACAGGATGGCACATTTGGGCTGAACTGCAGTGAACACTGTGACTGCAGCCATGCTGATGGATGTGACCCTGTCACAGGCCACTGCTGCTGCCTGGCCGGATGGACAGGTAACCTTCCCTTGCTGTGCCACCACCCACGTACTGTGAAACTGGGTTCTTGGTATTCTACTTCTCTTGACCGTTCTTTCTTCTTCAATACCTTTCTTCTTGATCCCTGAATATGCATCTTTCCCTTTATCTGCTCTGGGTTCCAGTTCTCCATTCCATTTAATTCAAGTATTTATTGAATATCTATTAGGTATAAGCTCTGTCCAAGGCACTGGAGTCACTCCAGTAGGTCAAAAGCTGACATATAGTGGGTGTAAGTGCTCAATCTAGAGAATATGATGGAGAAGGGGACAAGGGTCTTTCTCCTTAGTCCAGTCTCAGAATTCTGCTCCTTATATCTATCCTGTCAGCCTGCCTCCTAATACAAGGTGAATCCATCTACTTCTCTCCATCCCACTGCCACCACACGGTCTGCTGGGCACCATCCCGCATCTGGCACTGCCTTGGACTCTGATCTTGCCCGGCTGCATTCATTCTGCACCTGGTGGCCGGAGTCAACTTTTCAAACCCAGACCTGCCATTTCAGTCCCTGTTCAGAATGCCTCAATGGCTTCCCACGACTCTTATATAAAACTTTAAATCCTTACCATGGCCCAGGGCCCATGGGATCTGGCTCTGCCTGACTCCTCCACCTCGCTCTGCTCACTCTGTGGCTCACGACATTCCAGCCACCAGGGCCACAGTCTTACTTCTTCAGGGAGCCAACCACCTTCCTGACTCCAGGCCGTTGTACATGCCATTCCCTCTGCCTGGATCATTTCCTTCCCTTTTTCACCTGATAACTCCTTGTCTACCAGATTTCAATGTAAAGCTTTCTTCCTCTAGGAAGGCACTGCCCCTGCTATGATACCCACCCCCAACCTGACCAAGACAAAAGCATCCCCTTTATTAATTCTTCTACCCTACATTTTTCCTATTGTGGTACTTAAATCAGAGTTCAATGACAATTGTGGTAACTGTTTGTTATCTGCCTTCCTAATGTGGCCATCAGCTCTATGGAGGCATATGCCTTATTCACCATTGTATCCACTGCCTGCCACAGAGATTTGGATAACATGGTTGTTAAGAACCCAGCTCTAGAGCCAGACTGCTGGGGTTTATGACCTTGGGCAAGTCGTCTAACCTCTCAGGGCCTGAACTCTCCATCCCTAAAATACAGATAATTATCCTTGCAACTACAGGGTTGTTTTGAAGCTTAAATGAGTTACTACCTATAAAGTGCTAATAGTGCCTGGCACATAGTAAGTGCTCAGTAAAAGTAGGCCATGAACACAGGAAGTGCTTAATAAGCATTTCAGGAGTGAACCTACTAGCCAGTCCCAAGGTGATGAGCAGCAAAGAGAAAAAATTAATAGTCATTTCTGGCAGTATAGGTTATCAGATTAATAATTAACACCAGGTTGCTGCACAGCCTGTGTTCATAATCAGAAAGTTTCTAAGCAGCCAAGAGCCAGGGACATTGCTTCCTCTGCAGTATCTCTGGCCTGGCTTCCCCTGCCCTGCTGGCTCCTGCCCCTCAGTAAAGAATAGGGCTCCACCCTGGTCACTGGCACCCTAGAATCTCAGCAGAAGCCAAGTGGAAATCAACTTTAATTTTTCATTGCCTTAATTTTGAGTGAGCCGATTAAGATTTTAATGACATGTAGTGCTTAAAAATTCTGTCCTTGGTGAACAATCTTTCAGCAAGGCCTCTGCTGTTCTAAACCTAATTTCCCCAAATGTGGTCCTGAAGTCTTTTCAAAGAAACAATTGATGTCCTGAGGTTTGTCATGTAGAAGGGGGCCAATGAGAGACAGAGATGGGCCTCCCACTGAGCCCTCCCCACTCACCTCTGCCTCAAGAAAATCTGTGCCTAATTTCCCAGTCCCTGGCACATTGCTCACTCCTTGGCTCGGCACAGGTTTGGGGCTGCCCAGAGATGTGCACGTCTTCCCTTTACCCTCATAAGCCATAGGCTTACTGATAACTGGCATTTTGTCTTATTCATCTTGCCCTGCACATAATATGTGCTTATTAAATGTTTATTGAAATAAACTGGAAGAAGTTGGCCTATAACCATTCATGATTTTTCCCCTTAAAGTGGGGGAGACTTTAAAGATTATCTCCTCCAACCTTCTCATGCCACAGATAAGGAAAAGGAGTTGTCTGGGGTCTCAGGACATTGGGGCCAATAGGATGAGAGACTCAGGATTGTATCTTAAGGGGGAACCATTTATTCAATCAACTAGCATTTATTGACTCAAGCAATTACCAAACTCAGCAGTAAATGGTAAAAAGCAACAGTTTCTGAGTACCTACTGTGTGCCAAACACTGTGCTGGGCACCAAAGATGCAAAAATGACCAAATTGGCATCCTGTCCCTGAGGAGCACCTAGGTAAGCAAAGTCAGAAGTGTCAGTAAGCCATGGTCCCTGTCTTCACATTGCTGGCAGGGGAAACAGGACTCATGTGTATGAAGCTTTCAAGTAACAGGTACAAAGCTGTATGCTGCTGGTTATCAAAGAGATGCTTGTCTCCCTGGGCAGACATCCAAGAAAGCTTCCTGGGGAAGGAACGGACCCTGAAGGATATGGAATGCTGAGTGGCTACTGGCTTCATTGCATGAACCAGAGATCATCATGTATGGATCCCTAGCCTAGGTTTACCCACCAATATAGATGTGGGGGTGGGGAAGATTCCTGAAAAATAAAGTAAGGGGATTCCCTAGAGTAAGAAAGGAAAGGACCTCTGAGGGAGACTATCCCTATCCAACTGTGGGGAAAACTGGGGCCCAGGAAGGTAACTGAAGCTGCTTCTTCAGAAACTATAGCTGGGAGCCTCCCACAAGGCCAAGGCCAGCCCCTTTGATCGTATCAGTAAGTCGCTTCTGGAACTGGGCACTCCGTATGGGGAAATCCTTGACCCTTCTTTCCACTTAGATCCCATGTCTTAAGCTCCAAGAAGGTCTTGGGACATATAGAACCACCACAAACAGGAGCCCCACTCCCACGGAAACAGGCCCAGAATATAATAACTGCCAAGTCCTAGAACCCAGTGGGACTTTGCAGACACCTTCAGTCTGAGAATAAACATGCTACACTCATGGTTCTCAATCTCCATAAACGAGGACCCCTTGTGACATGAAAACACTAAGGATTCCACAATGAGAGTAGCTATACTTTTCATGGCCATTGGCTAGGATAAACACAACAGCAACCAGCTGCCATGAACTCAGTGGTGCTTTCACATACACTGTGTTTTATGAACACAGTAATACCTATGGTTTCAGGAAAGAGCAGTGTCTATGTGTGACACATGTGCCTTGGCCAGCTGGCAGAGTGCTTGGTGTGCAGTGGAATTGGAGGCCCTGTAGGCAGCAAAGCTCCACCTCAGTGCAAGGAACAGCTGTCCCTAGGCCTGTGGTCTGAATCCTGGGTTTCCAACAACCACAGGCAAAAGAAGTCCTAGGCTGGTGCAGTGGCTCATGACTGTAATCCCAGCACTTTGGGAGGCTGGGGTGGGCAGATCACTTGAGATCAGGAGTTTAAGACCAGCCTGGCCAACATGGAGGAACCCCGTCTCTACTAAAAATACAAAAGCTAGCCAGCTGTGGTGGCTCACACCTATAATCCCAGCTACTCGGGAGGCTGAGGCAGGAGAATTGCTTGAACTTGGGATGCAGAGGTTGCTGTGAGCTGAGATCATGCCACTGCACTCCCGCCTGGGTGACTGCACTCCCACCTGGGTGATAGAGTGAGACCCTGTCTCAAAAAACAAAAGCCTTATAGCAGATCACAGCTTTGTTATGCCCAGGAAAAGGAGAAACTTGAAGATGGATCCAAAACTTTGAACAGTTTTATGGTTTCCACTTTCCCAAACTCCCTTTAGTCAATCTATGATGCCTGTCCAGGGTTCACCTCTTGGGCACCTGAAACACCACTGGGAGAGACCCCTGTCAATGGGTAAAATATGGCTACCAGATCCCATTCCCTGGGGAGGAAACCACTTGCCCCCCCGCCCATCCCCCACCTACCCACCTGCAACCATCTCCCAGAGAGTGGCATCTGAAGCCTCTACCCTACTGCAAAACTGAGACACTACAGGGAGGGAGCGCAGATGCTGGGCTAGACAGAGGAACAGGAGGATGAGTAAAGCCTGTTGCATGCCCCTCCCTCCCCTCTCCTCGACAGCCCAGGTGGGCTTGTACAATTCCAGTCTGCCTCCAAATTGGTCCCACTGCTCTCATGCTGCTGCTAGGGCTGGCTCTGTTCACTGGGCACAAGTGTCTTTCTCCTTTCTTTCTTTCTCTTTCCCACAATCGCTGTCCTTATAACAAGGCAGACATTATTTTTCAACTAATTCTGCCCCTCTCTGAGCCTCTGATATTCACCTTCTGAAGCCAAGCCAATCTCCTGGGCTCATATGTTCCATTTCCCTAATGCATGTCAGAATGGAAGCCTTTCTGCCTGGGAAGAAAACCTACCTCAGAGTTAGGGCATCCAGCCTCAGGCCTTTTAAAACTCCTTCTTCGCCTTCAGGCTGTAGGGAACCTAACACACATTTCCTCTACCTGAGCCCAAAAAAACTATTATAGACTTTGTTCCTTTTTCTAATTGAGAAATTCCATCCATTCCCCCATAGGCCACTGTCAAAATGAGGTTCACTAAATCAAATTGTTGGGTTACAACTGGCATTTTAAAAACTGAAATAGAATACATCATAGTACAGAGAAAACATCAGAGTCCATCATACATAGTGACAGTAAATGTAATTTTTGCAAAGCACTGGTTTCTATTGTATGTGTGCATGAATGATACACATATTGCGCTGAGGAGTCTGGTCAGAAGAATCTGAAGAGACCCCACCTACTCTCTGAGCCCCTCCCTGGGTGGGCTGGCAGGGACCCAGCAGCACCAGTAGCTCCTGGGCTAATGTGCGTGAGCATATGGCTCACTCCCAGCTGACACTTACTTGCCCATAGTTGGTTTCTCCTGGTCCTGTTCTTGAATGCCATACAGAAGAGGCCCTTGTGATCTGGTTCCTTCTTACTCCCACAATCTCATCTCTTGCCGTACCCCATTTGCACTTTGTGGTTCAACCACATTCACTATTTGCAATTTCTTTCAAGACACGATTCTTTCTCCTGCCTCCTGCTCTTTGTACATACAATTTCATTTGCTTGGTCAATTCCTCCTTGACTTTTAAACTCTGGATATCACTTCTTCCTGAAAATCCTCCATGACCAGCCAAGCCTCAGCTGAGTTTCTCCTCTACATTCCTGGATGCACTATGCTGCTTCCACCTCTTCATACTGCACTGTCCCCCTTCGCTCCATTTTTCCCTCTGCCCTCACCTCTCTTACCACTGACCTGAGTCTGCCTCTGGCCCACAGGCATCCGCTGTGACAGCACGTGTCCATCTGGCCGCTGGGGCCCCAACTGCTCTGTCTCCTGCAGCTGTGAGAATGGAGGCTCCTGCTCCCCAGAGGATGGGAGCTGCGAGTGTGCCCCTGGCTTCCGAGGACCCTTATGCCAGAGAAGTAAGGCTGATCCCCTGACCCCGAAGAATTCAGAGGGCTCATCCTCCCTAGCCCTCCCACTAGAACTAGCCCTGGCCTGACAGAGGCTGGGCTCTTAAATCAGCCCCCATCTCTTCCTTCCCTCTAGTCTCCTCTCTCTCTGCACTGGCTGCTCTGTCCCCAGGTTTGGGGCCCAGCCCAGCTACTCAGTGGAAACAGGGCCACACCACAGCTCTTCTCTGCAGAAAGGGATGTACCCTCCAAGATGTGGGAAGGATGCAGGTCTCCCTATGTTTTTGAGAAGTGTGGAACAGGAAGGGTAGCTAGGCTGGCTGGGGTCTATTGGGCTGCTGACCATCATCTTCCCTTTACCCTCAGTCTGTGCCCCTGGGTTCTACGGCCACAGCTGCGCCCAGCCATGCCCCCTCTGCGTGCACAGCAGCGGGCCCTGCCACCATGTCAGCGGCATCTGTGAGTGCCTCCCAGGATTCTCTGGAGCTCTCTGCAACCAAGGTACTGTCTCCAGTAGGATGGTACAGGGCAGGGAGGTGAGAGGTTCTGGAAGGAAAGTGGCAGGGAAGGAAGGGCTTAGGGATTTTCATCATACTCTGTAAAGGTAGCTCCTTCCCTCTTCAGGACTTGGGCTGCCTTTATGAGAACTGCCCCACATGGCATGAGACAAAGGCCCTAACACAGTTAACAGGCTCAGAGGTGAAATGCTTTATCTGTGATTTCGTAGCTACCAAGTGGCAGAAACAAATTCTGATTCCAACATGCATGCTAAAGGGATGAAAAGTGAAATAAGCATAGAGGAGATCTACATCAGAAGTGGCACCATGTGGTCTGTGCCGAGTGCCAAAGGTAAAGGGCAGAGAATGCTGTGGGAGTGTAGAGGAGTTGGCTCTGGCTTGGGCTGGAGATGGCAACTTCCAAGCCCTTCTCCCTGTCATATTCAGGCCACCATCCCTAATCCCTCCCCACATGCTTTCCTGATTTGACCTCAGAATCCTTCACAATACCAACTCCAAGAACTGCTACCACTCCGCAGGAGTTGAAAAGTGACATAAAGCTTATTTGCATTGGTGTTCTGCCCTACCAGTTCTGTGTGGGGGAAAAACCCTGATCTGTAACATCTGCAGATTTTAAAAATATAAATATTCCTACCATGGCTGATTTCAAGGTACCAATGATTTAACATCATTCACAAAATTCCCAAATATTGAACAACCAGTGAGAAGGTAGGAGCTGCCTCCACACATCATTGCCTATTGCCATCCCTGGCTTTCTTAGGACAAGACAGTATAGATTTGGGGGAAGGCTCCATGGACCATGCAGGACTTCAGCTGGGCCTTAGCTTGAAAGGTGGAAAAGGAAGAAAAGCATTCTGTGTAGAGGAAGCAGCTTAGGCAAAGCATAGAGATGTTGGCATGCTACAGGGAACAGCTGATGGATATGGTAGCTGGGGGTGGGCAATGGGGGTTAGAAGGTAGGCTGAGGCCTTCAGAACAGGTTTGAACACAAGGTTACAGAACTTGCACTCTGTTAAACTTAGGGCTAAAAGCAACTTCAAGGTCATCTATGCAAGAAATCTCATCTGGACTCTGCTTAAATACTTCTGTTGACTGAGCGCTCACTACCTCCCAGGGGAACCCATTCTTTTGATGAATAATCACTACTGAGCTGGGCTATTTTTGCAAGTGTGTGGGCTGTTAATATGTTTGAGTAGAAAGTTTACTACATGATGCTTTGAGGTCCTGAGAAGTTTGAGCCCCAGGGAAACATATGTGACAGTTTCATTTACTTGCAGCCCTCCTAGGATGGTTTAATCATAACCTGACGTGTCGAGGTTTACTTATTAAACATAGGAGACTTGGCCATCAATACAGATAGTCTAGGTCTAAATTAGGACCCATGCAGCCCGAGGAGTAACTCTCAGATGCTGCGTTGTCTGATTTATCGCCCACTGGCCTAATGAGTATTTCCCACATATAGATCTAATAGAGTTTGCTATTAATGGCAACTGCCCTGGTTAAGTCTCAAACCTTGTAAAAAATTGAACTGACACTTTCTAATGACTGGCTTTCCAGCGAGTTACAAATTATAGACACTGCTTATGCAGAATCATTAAACATAGATTAAATATAACCAGATGTTTTCTTTTCACCAGCCCCCCTTCTGTCCACTGCCCCTCTCTTTGCCTTACTCTTGATTCAGCTAAGAAGTCGACCAATTAATGGATTAGATTGATCGTATTAGCAGTTCTGTGGGTAAATTTCTTGGCCTCATATATGTGAGAAAGACTTCAAAGATAAGACTGTCTTGTTAGAGAAGCTCAGAGTTCGTTTTGCAGGTAGGGTAGGGGGAGCAGCACTGGCACCGTACTCCCCACAGAGGGCCAGGACTTGGGGTTGGGTTCCCCAAATCAAGTACCTCCCAGAGGTAGGAAAGAAGAGGCTGGGCAGCCTGCTTTTCAAAAAGCTGGAGCTTGAGCTGCAAACAGGTGAGATGCATGTCACCCTCTTGGCAACAGAACTTCCTGGAAGGGAACTAAGGTTTCTGCCAGGGGAAGCACAGGGCCCCAAATCAGCCAGCCTGCCACAGCTACTAACCATGGCCCTAGGAGAGTCGGTGAGGGCTCCCATTCCCACCTCAAAGATGAGGAAACAGAGACTAGGACAGGTGTTGTGGTTTGCTCAAAGGCACTTAGCCAGCAAGAGGTACAACTTCCTAGTTGTGTGACCTTGGGCAAGTTACTTAACCTGCCTCAGTTTCTCATCTATAAAGCAGAGTTAATGATAGGGCATAATAATGAGACTACATAATAAGAGTATTCCAAGATTAAGTGAACTAAATACAGGCATACCTTGTTTTATTGTGCTCCACAGAAACTGCATCTTCTTGTTTTTTACAAATTAAAAGTTTGGCCAGGTGCAGTGGTTCACATCTGTAATCCCAGCACTTTGGGAGGCCAAGGTGGGTGGACTCCTTGAGGTCAGGAGTTCGAGACCAGCCTGGCCAACATGATGAAACCCTGTCTCTACTAAAAATACAAAAATTAGCCGGACGTGGTAGCACGTGCCCATAATCCCAGCTACTGGGGAGGCTGAGGCAGGAGAATCGCTTGAACCTGGGAGGAAGAGGTTGCAGTGAGCCAAGATTGCACCACTGCACTCCAGCCTGGGCAACGTAGTGAGACTCTGTCTTGAAACAAAAAACCAAAGGTTTGTGGCAACCCTGCCTTAAGCAAGACTGTTGGTGCCATGTTTCCAACACCATGTGTACACTTTGTGTCTGTGTCAGCATTTTTTTTGCAATAAAGTGTTTTTTAATCAAGGCATGTACATTGTTTTTTAGACATAAAGCTATTGCACACTTAATAGAGTACAGTACAATGTAAACATAACTTTTGTATGCTCTGGGAAACCAAAACATTTGTGACTTGCTTTATTGCAATATTCACTTGCAGTGATCTAGAACCAAACCCACATCTCTGAGGTATGCCTGTATTTGTGAAGCACATTGAACAGTGTCTGGTGCATTTAAGTGTCATGTATATGTTTGTTGAATACATAAAGAAAACTTGGACCTAAATCCAAGGCTTTGGACTGGAGAGTCTGGTCCACCGTACTGCCTTTATTATTTGTCTCAACTACCACATCATGTCCAGGAGAGGCACTGAGTAGATGCAGATCCTAGCCACTAGTGGCCCACAGTCTGGCTGGGGAAGAACTACCAATATGAGGCAGTGTGGTGTAAAGCAGAGGGTTTCAGCCCAAGATGTGAGAGACCTGGGCCCTGGGGAAGTCATGTATCTTCAAGAATCAACACGTTCCCATCATCCTCTGTGCTGCTCTCCAGGATCGACTTTATTTTGTGGCAATGGGAACCCACTGAGGCTCTCTGAGCAGGACATAGGAGTGCCATGAAGAAAGCTGTGCTTTAGAGAGCTCAAGCTGTAGGAAGCAGGTGGGGGATGAACTGCAAGGGGAAATAAAAGGTTAAGTGCTCAATGAATACTCAAGCCTAGTCCTAAAAGAGCTTTGCAGCCTGACTGAGGAAACCAGCTCTTCCTCCAGGGACAAAGGAGTGACTCCTCCAGGAAGGTCTGTGACCAAAATCCTCCAAGTGACTCAAATTGGAAATACCAGTGGTAGAGAGGGCCTTGTGAACTCAGGAGGGCTTTTCTGAGGAGGATGCTGAGCTGAGAGTCTTGAGCAACAGGTCAGAGGAAAGAGGCGGGCAGGGACAGACACTCAGGGCTGGTCCTTTAACAGTCAAACCGCAGGCAGGCCTGCCACACAGCATTTATCCCTCTCTGTCCAGCTGTACACATTCTCTACCCTTGTGGTTGTGGAATCTGTGATGTTGGTGAAAGTAGTAATGGAAAGCAGAAGGCTGTGGAACAGCACAGGGAGCACTGGACTGTGAGTCCAGAAGTATAGTGCTCAGCCTCCCACTTCTCATCTGTGAGGCCTAAGTCAGGTGATTCTACCTCCATGGGCCTCAGGCTGTTCTTAAAGGCAATCATAATAGAGCCTTCTGAAGAATGCAGCTGTAGGCATGAGAGGGGCAACTCATTTATGTGCAAATGGAGAAGGGTGACGAGGGTACCAAGGCGGGCACAGTTTCCATCCAGATCCATGACCCCTGGGTGATCGTGGCTGTGGCTTGGGAACTTCTAGGGATGAGGCTGTGGGTGGAGGTCAGAGGAACACAGGTGGGAGGATGGGTGCCAGGCTGCCCTGTGCCCACAGTGTGTGCTGGAGGACACTTTGGGCAGGACTGTGCCCAGCTTTGCTCCTGTGCCAACAATGGGACCTGCAACCCTATCGATGGCTCCTGTCAGTGCTTTCCTGGATGGATTGGCAAGGACTGCTCACAGGGTAAGTTGCTACTACCTGGGAATGCCCTTACCTGGAGTCAGGCCCAAAAATTCTCCCTTTCTTGCCCAAAACCTCTCTGTCCTGGTGCCTCCACTTCGAGGGATGAAATCTCCTTCTGCATGTAGGAACGAGCCCCATTTAGCTCTACAGCTACCATGATGGATTATTAGGATTGATCATTGGTATTAACTACTGGTATCAAAGGTATTGATATTGTTGATAGTACCATTAATGCTATGAATTCTGAGGCTCAATACTCCATTAGCACCTGGGCAAGGAGTAGCCCCTGAGTTTGGATGGGGAAGAGGAGGGGCAACGGCATGCTTGAGTTTGGGAGTAGGGAAGTGAGATGAGGCCAGGGCAGCCACTTCAGGAGAGTACGGTGCCCTCTGGGTGGCCCATGTGAATGATGTCCTAGAGGCTGTTCATGTAAAGTGCACCAATCTGATGTGAAGGGAACAGCCTCTCTCCAGAAGCCCCCAAACTAAGGACAGAGACCCTGTGGAGCTCCTTGTCTGATGGGTGAGACCTAGCCAGTACCCTCCGGGAGGTCCTAGTTAGATGGCTGAGGGAATTTCCATTCTGATGAGGAGACATAGGCTCCGCTGTCAGGAGCTCACCAACTGAGAGGAGAGAGCTCCTGCCCTAGGAAAGTCCCCATTCTCGTGGGGACACAGTACATACATGGCAAACCACAGTGTTTACCCGCATGCTCCAAATCAGTCCCCTGGGAGGGGAGGCTCAGGGGCCCTCAGAGCCCTGCTGAGTCAGCATCAAACACTTGGAGAGTGGGTAGAGAATCTGGGCTTAATGGGAATCTTGGGTAACTAAGCCAAGAGGTAAGTGCAGGAATTCTGGGAACAATGTGTGAAGCCACTGAAAGCCAGGAAATGTCAGCCAGGTCCATCCTGGCATCTTGGCTCTGACGTGTACTCCCCCTTCTTCTCCCTCTCCGCCTTCCCCTCACCCTCTGCATTTCACCCACGTCCCAGCTTGCCCACCCGGGTTCTGGGGCCCCGCCTGCTTCCACACATGCAGCTGCCACAACGGGGCGAGCTGCAGCGCCGAGGACGGGGCCTGCCACTGCACCCCTGGCTGGACTGGACTCTTCTGCACACAGCGTAAGCCCCACCTCCTGGCCTCCCAGCCACTTAGAATCCCATGCTGCGGCCTACTGGCCAGTGTCGGCATTGTCCAGACCAGCAGGGAGGGAAGAAGGAAGGCGGCCCCAGGATTAGTACCTGACTCCTGCCCCCATGAGAACTGAGGAGCTCTGCAGGGGCAGCTCCAGACCTGACTGGATTCAGGGGACTGACAAGCCCAAAGTCCTGGAAGGTCGGGGCTGCAAGGTACCCCAGCAATCACCAAGACCAGACCCTCCTTGGACAGTGGGGCCCAGAGTGGGGAGGAGCAGCCTGTGGCCACACAGGAAGGAGACCCTAGCCTGGCCTGTGGTTCCACATCCCCTCTGTCTTGAAAAGGCAAAGATCACCTAGCCCCTGCCCCTTCAGCATGAAGATCCTGAGCAGGGAGACAGCTCTGGTGCAGGGCCTCACTAGTCTTCATCCCATGCTCAGCAAAAAAAGAGACAGAAGACAGGTCTGGTTCCCGCTGCACCCCTTATCCTCACCCAGCAGCAACTCTCATGACTGGAAATCCTGTTTCTCTAGGCTGCCCAGCAGCATTTTTTGGGAAGGACTGTGGGCGTGTATGCCAGTGTCAGAATGGCGCCAGCTGTGACCACATCAGTGGCAAGTGCACCTGCCGCACAGGCTTCACCGGGCAACACTGTGAGCAGAGTAAGCTGTCCTGACCCCTGATGCTGGGTGATGCTGCTGGGCTCCAGCCTCCTGCAGAGGATGCCTCCCGCTTCAAGGTCCACTCACTCAGGGCTCTGTACCCCTTGGTCCCTTGACTTTGGGGGCAACTTCCAAGGAAAACTGCTGAGGAATGTCATGCCTACATTATTGTTTGAAGAATTTCTCCCGTCAGTTGGGAGGAGATGGGGGGCATTTAGGGCAGGGCAGAGGTCATAGCAGGTAATGAGAGAATAGTGGGAGGCAGATCTTTTTTTATTATTCTTTAAAGTCCCTATGGCACTCAGATTAGGGCCTGGCAGGTGGAAGATACTGCTGAAATGTGTTGCATGAGGAGGAAGTAGGGGTGAGTGGGCCCTGCTCTCTCCTCCTCCGTCCCTGTGTCCCCCACTCAGTGCTATAAATGCTCTGTCCACCCCCAAGTATCTAGCCAAAGCACAACAGGAGCTAAGGGAATAGGCTTCACTCGGTGGGAGGCAGAACAGGCTTATTGCCATAGCTGTCTACACATGGAATGGGAGGGGTGGAGAGTGAGTGGGTCCTCTACCCTAACTCTTTGTGCCACACAGGATGTGCCCCAGGAACCTTTGGCTATGGGTGTCAGCAGCTATGTGAGTGCATGAACAACTCCACCTGTGACCATGTCACCGGCACCTGTTACTGCAGCCCTGGCTTCAAAGGAATCAGGTGTGACCAAGGTAATACACAGGTGGCAGAGCCCCTGGGCTCTGTGGAAAGGGCCCCATGGAGGCTCTAGGGAGATTCCAACTGGAACAGCTGGATTTGATGACACCTCCCTTTATTCACATTTGTGAGGACAGCAGGAATAGGGTGGGCTGCAGAGGCTCCAAGAGCTGGAGAGGCATAAGGAGCAGGCAGTCTCTTAGTCACAGCCTCCCCAGGCTTGCCCTTGGCAAGTTTCCCATGAGCCAAGCAAGGGTAGCCACAAGCTAGTACTATGGAAAGGTCACCAGACCAAGTTAGAATATCTGCCAAGTTCCGAGTTCTGCCTTACCTGCTAGGTGTCCTTGGGTAGGTTATTTGATTTTGCTAGGCCTGTTACTCCACGTGCAAAGTGGGAAGAGTAGATTAATCGTCTTCCCCCATAACATAAGGTTACTCTGAAGGCTGAGGAGCCCAAAGGGGCTTAACCTGGGCTCTAGCCCTACGGTCGGACAACACCTCATAGGGCCTAAAGGGGATGGAGTCCGAAGGTCAGGCTGTGAGAATCAAGTTGAGACAGTATGAGTAAAGGACTCAGCATGGTGCCTGGCCCATAAGTGAACACTCCAATAAATGCTGGCTTTGTTATATAATGTGCTACAAACATGTTGGTTCTACATGGGGGATGAAAATGGACTCTCAATTATCCACATTACAGAAAAGGAGCCAAAAGACAGATTTCCGTTGCATTCTGAGGATAAATCACTGAGAACGATAATGCAGCACATTTACCTCCCTAGTGATGTTGGCCAGCTCAGTTCAGCCAGCAGCCAACAGTCAAGAAGTCCAGACACTGCGGGCCTGGCAGGACAGCCCCCTAGACTAAGCATCAGCATGGAAGGCAGGGGCAGCCCTCACATACATCACCAAGAGGGGTCCTGCGGGCAGTAAACCTGGAAATAATAGCACAGTACTTAGAGCTTTCCTTGCCAGTCTATCACTTGGTGCTCACAATGACTGGGAGGGGTGGGGCTATTGTCCCCATGTTACAAACGAGCAAACCAGGGACTCTGAGCCACACAATTAGGAAGCAGGGAGAGGAGCTGTGTTCAATTTCTCCTGACTCCACCAATTACAGGTTATGTAATCTTGGGCACATTACCTAACCTTTGGTAAAACTGGTTTTTTCATCTGTGAAAGGAAAATACTAATCCCTTCATAGGGCTGCTGAAGAGTAAATGAATAAATATCTGTTAACTCATTTTTGGAACACAGTAAAATAATAAATATTTGTTATTGTTTCACATCCACAGTCACAACTGCTCCTTGTCATGACCCTGGGACTCCCACCCCTTTAGGGACGAAGGCACAGTGAGGGCTGGGGGTAGTCACGTAGAGACTGAGGAAATCAGGCCAAGGCCAGAACCAGGTCTCCTAACATTAGAGGGGTTACGGGCATCTGAGCCCGGGCCCAGGAGACCTGAAGTGCAAGCAGGCCAGCCCCAGGCTCAGGCCCTCCCTCTGCCCGCAGCTGCCCTCATGATGGAGGAGCTGAATCCCTACACCAAGATCAGCCCAGCACTGGGTGCAGAGCGGCACTCGGTGGGTGCTGTCACAGGCATCATGCTCCTGTTATTCCTCATTGTGGTGCTGCTGGGCCTATTTGCCTGGCATCGGCGGCGGCAGAAAGAGAAGGGCCGAGACCTGGCTCCCCGCGTCTCCTACACACCTGCCATGAGGATGACCAGCACCGACTACTCCCTCTCAGGTAAGGGCCATGCTCCTGTCCTTCCTCCTCTTCCCCTCCACACACACACCCCAGGAATGGTTGTACCTGTAGGGTTGGCTGCTGTGGCTGGATGTAGAAGGGTCAGTCTCCCCTAGAGTGATAGTGGGGATAGGGAGCAGGAGCCTACCTAGAAAAGGTATCTGGGGTTCCAAGAGGAAATTGTTTCCTGAGTCCCTAGCTCTGAGCAGCTATGGTTGGGAGCCTCCTCCCATTTTCCCAGAGCTTCCCTATCCTTCCCACCAGCTTTCGGCCTCAGGGTCACCCACACTAACCAGTCACTTTCCTAAGCTCTCCAGGGGAGCGTCTCCCCAACCTGATGCCTGTACCACCTCAAGAGACTAGACCTTGGAGTCCAGTGCCCAGAGCTTGTCCATTTGTTTCCCTGGTGAAGGCCTCAGGACAACCCTCCTTCCCAGTTCCCAGTTAGAGAGGGCCCTATTAGTACAGTGGAAGGGGACACTACCTGACTTGGGGGAGGTCTGAAAGTTTGAACAATGTCCCTCTGGCAAGTGTGCCAGAGCCCAGTGCATCCACGAATATGGTTAACAGCTCCAATAGGCATTTTATTTGGGAGTCTGAGTGGGGTCAAGGTGGGGCTGCTGGGTGATATCCTTCCTTTCCCCTGGACTGCTGCCTTGGAAATAAGGTTTTTTGCTTCATATTCGGCTAAAAAGTAGAGGCCAAAATGCTCTGAAATTGCCCTATAGTCATGGACCATGCGAGGCTGGGCCCGTCTGGGTGGGCACAAGGTGACAGCTCTGTCCAGGTGGCTCCATGGCACATGACTCATGGCTCATCTGCAGCCTCCTGGACCTTGTGCTTAGAAAACCCAAATCACTTCAGCCCATTCCTGCTAAGTATTGCCTTCTGTATGTCCAGCTTCATGCTAGGCACTGCAGGGTAGACAGAGGCAGGCCAGTGCACACCATGCCTTCAAGGAGCTCCTGGTCTACATGCCACACTACAGCCAAAGCAGACATCCCCCACATGGGAGATTTGGGGATTTTCTTCTATGACTATACTGAGAAGGTTGGCTAGGGTTTCCTATGCCATTCCTCTGGTATTCCCCGGTCCTATGGAGAGGTTCTGGAATCCTTAGGAGGGAAGAACGGAGTCAAGAGGAGTGAGGTTCTCTTTATGATCTCATTACCAGGATGTGACCCTAGAAGGAAGCAGGAGTCCAGCCCTAAATAGGGACTCAGAAACATGTAAGGCTATCAAAGCCAACATGCCCCATCCAGGCTCCAGTTGATGATGCCCCGCCCTGGCACTGGCGAGCCTATCCTGCATTCTGCCATGCTGCAGGGAGGACCAGCATAAGGGAAGAAGCAAATCAGGCTCTCCAGATTTCGGTAGGGGTAGTGAATGCCAGGAAGCTTGGGGGATGGGGTACTTGGCTGTTTGTCTTTGCAGGGCTCTCTCAAGGCTCCCAGCCCAAGCATTAGTACTGGGGGTATCTCATACCAGGGGCAGGGGTATGATGGTATGTGGCACCTTGTTCTCTTCCCAGATTTGTCTCAAAGTAGCAGCCATGCCCACTGCTTTTCCAATTCCAGCTACCACGCACTGGCATGTGGGGGGCCTGCCACCAGCCAGGCCAGCACTCTGGACAGGAACAGCCCCACCAAGGTACCGGGCCCCTGATTCCCCAGCCCCCACTCACTGCCCTCTCATTTAACCCTCACCTCTGCCCAGGAAGGAACTGCATCCCCCACATGGAGGGTCCATGTAGAACTGACCACCAATACATTAAAAGCAACCCTGTGATCCATGGTACATGTAAACACTCTGTGAAGCATGTAATGGAGCCAGCATGTTATGTGGAGCCAAGTGCTGTGTAACCAACCCACAGCATCACTCACTATAACATATACCCCTGCACCCTGTAACCAACTGGTACCAAGTCATGTAATCACGTATTAGCTTTATCACCTATAATCATGTAGACACTTTTGCCACATGTCAGCATGTAATCAAAACACCAGACCACCTTGTAGGCCAGGCGTGGTGGCTCACGCCTGTATTCCCAGCTACTTGGGAGGCTGAGGCAGGAGGAATGCTTGAACCCAGGAGGTGGAGGCTGCTGTGAGCTGAGATCGTGCCATTGCACTCCAGCCTGACGACAGAGCAAGACTCCATCTCAAAAAAAAAAAAAAAGAAAAAGAAAAAAACTAGACCACCTATCACAAATCACTGCAGTATGCTACCAACACAATGTGTGCAACTGGCATATTATAGAGTAACTACTGTTATTCAGATAACTACCTAACAATGTGAACATAACCATGTCATCAGTACCCACTCATAACCATTTGTTGCAATCTCAATCAACACAAGGGATGTGGAACCCAAACTTCAGCCACAGCCAGTGTTCTGTGGACAGTGAGTTCCATAGGTCTTCATGGCAAGTGTGCACCCTTCTGGACAGGACCTTCCCTGACAGCTTCCAGCATAACCCTGGCTGTTGGCAAGATGTCCTCTTATACTCACAGGCCCTTGGGCAAGGATGTCTCCGCACCTATGTGTAGGTAATACATATGGGAGCTCCCTTAATGTGCCCAGACTCACACCAGGCAGAGCGGGAAACAAGAAGTGAGGATGAACAGTCTCCGAGGACAGGTCTGAGAGGCTCATGCTGCATACCTCTGGATACCCACCTGTGCCCATGCCCACAGACACAGAACAGTGGGGAGCAGGGCCATGGTGGGAGTGGGAATTTCAGGATTCCTAGCTTCCCATAATACCCATTCAGGGACAAAAGCATGGCTTTCACTGTCCAGGGCTATGCCCTAGAGATCTACGAGTCCTTTCTTCCCTGTCCCGTGGAGAATGACCATCGGCCTACAGACCTGGTCCAGCAACAGTAACACAGATATACAGCCTCAAGGGCAACCACTATCAAGCCAACACCCCAAGACCACTCTCAGCCTCCACCCTCTTTTGGTAAGGGGGTGGAATTACTGCAGAGTTGCCAACTTGGTGACCCTCTAGGTCACCTCAACCCAGGGGCCCGGAGTGGCTCTATGTGGTTAAGGACCCCTCAGTCTAACAGATAGGGCATCTGCAGCAGAGGCAGGCAGCTGTGATGACATGGAAAGGACATGGCACTGGGAGCTGAGACCTGAGTTCCAGACACAGCTTTGTCACTGACTCCTTGTGTGTTCACAAGCAAAGCACACAAGTCAGGACTCAGGTCACCATCTGTAAAATGAGGATAACCATCCTTGCCTCATATGAAGGGCAGCTGTGAAAATGCAGAGAAAGGAAAGACGACAACATAAACCTCAAGATACTCTATTCTGAAGCTTTCCTTTGGTCACAGGAAAAGGAAAATCTCACATTCAGCCCTAATCAAGACCAGGTGGCAGAGGTAACAGTGACATTGCAGGCAGCCTCAAGACTTCCCTCTGTGCTGGAGATGGCCTCATGTTGCAGCTGAGACATCACCAGAGGCCCCTCTCCTAAAGCTAAGCCCTACCCCCCAGCTAATCTGCTTCCTCTATCAGGGCCAGCTTGGCTCAAGCTACCCCAGGAGGCCTGGGAACCCTACAACTTCAGCCCAACACCTGGGGTGGGGTATGTTCTATTCCCACTGGCATCAACCACACCATGGTGGCCTGTCATGGAACACCTAGCTCGCCCTTTCTTTCAATGGCCTAGGACCCAGGTGGGTCAGGATTATCACAGGGTGCGTGCACTGAAGCTACGCAAAGTGAAGATTGGGGAGGGGTACCTGGGGCACTATATATTAACTGGCTCTCCTACTCTCCAAACAGCTCAGTAACAAGTCCCTTGACAGAGACACAGCAGGCTGGACCCCCTACAGCTATGTGAACGTGTTAGGTCAGTAGTGGTTTGAGTCTGGTCCCCACCATCATGTCCCACCCTATTCTTCTTCCATATTGAGAGGGACCCAGCTTGAAGGGAAAGGGTTATGAGTCCTGAACATGGTTTCCCCCAGGGAGAAATTTTGGCTCTCACAAGCAGATGAAGCTCTAGAATCCCTTTCCATTACTATATTAGGGCTAAGTCCCTGCTATGACCCAGGGACCACAAGGGAGAAAACCAGGGCCAGGATGTAGGGAATCTAGATGGAAGCAAAAGACACTCACCATCTGGATAGGAACCTCTGCCTGACCCAGGCCCTACCAAGGCATTCCTTTCAAGGGCTTCTTTCCCCTGCCTCCTCCCTGGTGGAGGAGCACTAATTCCTTCAGAGGGAGGGAGGAAGGAACGGAGGGAGGGAGGGAGAGGGGAAACAAGGCAGATGACCTTGGCTCTAACAGAGCCCCTGGCCCCAGCCCCTCTGGATGCTATACACAGAGGCCCCCAAGTCCTCCCAGCCTGCCTCACCCTGACCCTGGCCCACTTGTGTACTTCCTACCCTCTTCCCTGCCATACCAGGGCCCTGGGAATAATGGCTCCTCCCTGTCATTCCTCTCACTAGACTCCCATTTCCAGATCAGTGCCCTGGAGGCCAGGTACCCGCCCGAGGACTTCTACATTGAACTTAGACACCTCAGCCACCCCGCTGAGCCACACTCACCAGGTCAGACCCCAGCCCTACCCTCCACCCCCTCATGCCAGACCAGACCCAGCACCTGCCCTAATCCCCATCCCTGCACCTTGACCTCCACCCCATGGTCCCAGAACTCTCCCTTTTAAGCCCTCTTCCCTCCTAACATGTCTACCAGCTCAATCCCCTATCTAAAGATGGAAACCTGTCTGGATCTTCCCCATCACCCATTCTGTTCCCACAGTGAATGGTGGATGTGGACAAACGGGCTACTTAGGGTGGAGAAGATACAACAAAACTGCCCTCCCTACAGGCCACAAAATACAACCCAACATCATTCAAAAATGACTTGGGGATGGTGACATCTTTGGGGTTATTTGGGCCCTGTTGGAGTGAATAACAGGGAGTTAGCTCTCTGGCTAATAAAGTCCAATGTTTCCCAGAGACTCCAGAAACTCCAGTGGCCCAAGCCAAGCTTTCTCAGATCTCAGGGTAGGGTTGTCAAACAGGGATCTGCAGAGGCTGGGGCAGATGTATCAACTAACATCATCTGTATTCATGTACTGAGTACAGCCTGGGCTGAAACCTGGTGGCTTGGGAGAGACACACACAAGAGACTTGGAAAGTTAGCTCTGAGATGGGAACATGTGGGTAGGAGTTACATAAGGTATCATAGGAATAAGCGCAACGAATGAACAGAGAATGTGGCCTCCCTACAAAGTGGCTCCTCTGGGGCACACTGGGGCAGGGCCTTGGCACACTGGACAACTCTAGGCCTGACCTCAGGCTCTAGGTGGCTTCTAGAACTCTAAGGAAACTGAGCTGCTCTACCAACCCCTGCAGGTCCCTGGGTCCAGTAACACAAGGAAGGGTGAAAGTTCTGAATTCATCTGCCCACTGAGCAGGCATGGGCTGCATGGACCCTGGGCCTATACTCAGGAGGCTGTATTCTTAGCTGTGGGTCCCCTGGATAGTGTCCAGGGCATTTAATAACCCCACTAACTATAATCTCTCCCACTCCCCCAACATATACACACACACAGCCCCACCACCACCACCCTGTATCTCTTTCCACAAGGGAGCATCCTCTGAGCCAGGCCAGATTTCTCCCTGCTTTACAGATCTCACTCTTCAACTAGTGTAACCAGAGCACCATGCGCTGGCATTTGTCTTACACCCAGGCAGGCTGGTGTCCAATGCGAGAGAATACTTGGAGAGATGTGGGCTATAACTGTAACTCAGCTTCTCACTTGCCGGTGTGGTTTTGGACAAGTCACTGCTGCTCTTTGGGCCTGTTCCCTGTTCTGTAAAAAGGAAAAGTTAATGCCCTAGCCACCTTCCCTCAGGGAGGGCAAAGGAAGTCCTTTGTATAAAGTATAAAGTGCTGAACTAATGCCAGCATATAGGCAGTTGCAGTCATGATTCTGAAGGACACAGGTACCTATACACCTTTCAGAAAAAATTTGAGACCAGGTGAGGTGGCTCACACCTGTAATCCCAGCACTTTGGGAGGCTGAGGTAGGCAGATTACATGAGGTCAGAAGTTCAAGACCAGCCTGGCCAACATGAGAAACCCCATCTGTTAAAAATACAAAAAAATTAGCTGGGAGTGGTGGCACATGCCTGTAGTCCCAGCTACTCGGAAGGGTGAGACAGGAGAATAGACTGAACCTGGAAGGTGGAGGTTGCAGTGAGCGGAGATTGCGCCACTGTACTCCAGCCTGGGTGACACAGCGAGACCCCGTCTCAAAAAAAAAAAAAAAAGAAACTTGAAAGAAAAACTTAGGCCTGGTTCTGCTGTATCTCTCAGTAATGTATGGAAGGTAGGCAGATGGGAGCAGACTCTTTCAAATTCAACATGGGAACTCTATATAGAGAAGCTATAGGGAGGCATCTAAATAGCAACAGGATGGTCTTCAGTGTGAGAAACTGGGAAGAGTCGTGGAATATCAAACTGTGTTTTAGTAAGTACTTGCTGCAGGCCTCGCTTGGTACTGTGTCCTCGGTTCAAAGCCGGAAGAAAAAATTGCTCTGACTTTGAGCCAGTCATTACTGTCCTAACCTAGAAATGCCAAACAATTTCTTTTCTGGGATCACCAGTAGCAAAGAACCCAAGCTTAGTCCCTGAAGCCTCTGGCTGAGGCTCAGGGCCATCATGCGTTGTTGGAGCTTAGGAAAAAACTGACAGCCAAAAGGTAGAAAGGAATCCTTGGGGCTGAAAACACTGGTAATACTTTCCAAAAACAACTCTACATTATGTGCAAATGGTCCACCCCAAAAAATGAGTAACTAAGAGAACTGGCTATGGGAGGGAATGTCTGTACATCCTACAAAGACAACTAATCAAGAACCTCAGCCACCTGTCTCCCTCTTTCTCTCTGGCTCCCCTCAGATAAGCCTTGGATCCAGGAGAGGACAGACAGGACCAGAGCTGAGAGGTGATAAATATTATCTTCAAACCCATGCCAAATTCCAACAGAACTGTGATTTGTAATGTCTTACAACTTTCCCTCAAGCTAAGAACTGGTTCTGCTTCATTCCTTATCCTATACCCTTGGAGCCTGGAGTTTCACCTGCAGGGAATGCAGGTGGCATCAGAACGGCCTTTTATTACTTTCTGAAAGACATTCCCCTAGGGTGAAGGTTAAAGGGAAGGAGTGCTGAATATGCCAGGGGTCGCTGTAGTTCACCTTAATGCTTATGAGCCTTTTAAGAATTCCTATAATCAAAACAATTTCAGGTGGATTAAACCCAGAATCATTTATCAAAATAATTTCAGGTAGATTAAACCCAGAATCATTTTCTAGCAATAAACAACTATTTATTTTCTGGGTAGGGAGAAAGTGGGGAAAAGCAAGAAAAAAGAACACACACAAGCAGTCTAAGTAAACCTCACCCCCATATTTTCTTGCCTTACGTTATTTTTACACAGGTGCTTGTGGAATGGATAGACGTCAGAACACATACATTATGGACAAAGGCTTCAAAGGTAGAGTATCCAATCCCAATGTCTTATTACAGAGGGCCTAGCAAGATAAAGAGTGCAGATCTGAAATGGCCAGGAATTCCAATTGAGAGAAACTGCGTGTGTCTGCCCCCACAAAAGGTCAAAAGACCACACGGCCTGGGGCTGCTGGGTAGCTGTGCCCAGGAGGAGCAATCATAATAATAATGGAATTCATCTTTCGATTTCAGTTGCACCTGCTTAGCAAATGCTTGTGGGTTTTTTATAGATGCCAACTAAATGTCTTCGGAAATGTAAAGCGTCATTATCCAACCAATTAGTACGAGTTAAATTGATTATAAAATCTGAAATAAAGTTGATCTACCTGCCCCAGAGGCCTTCTGTCGTTGCACTAGCAAGGAATGCCACCCTGCACCTGCTGGCTTTCTGGGGGCACAAGGAATGAAAATGATATGCAGTGTTAATATTGTATGGCACTCCAACCTCAAGAGATCTCTGCCTCCAAGAGCAGAGAAGCCAAGACAAATCCCTAACACATGGGAACTGCAAGATGGATCATCCCTCTAGGAAGTCTACAGGTGAAGCCAAAGATGAAAGGTCAGGTCCTGCCCTAGGTTTAAATGCCAGAATGTGTGAAATAGGGGGCTTTGGAACTCTGTTACTTGCCACTCTGTTGCTTATTAACTGTGACCTTAGACTGTGAGCTCTCCAAGGCTGTTTCCTCATCTGCAAAGTTGGGATAATTTTGCCTGTCCTATTGTCTAATGCCTGTCCCATTGTCTAACAAGGTTATCATGAGTAACCAATAAAATCACAGATGGGAAGTGTTTTTGCATACTGTAAAGGTGGTACTAATGTAATGGGGCTATTCTTTTGTCTCGGAGGTCTATTTAAAACAGCTTAAGGCCAGGCACAGTGGCTCACACCTGTGACCTCAGCACTTTGAGAGGTTGAGGTGAGAAGTTCACTTGAGGTCAGAAGTTCAAGACCCGCCTGGCTAACATGGCAAAACCCTGTCTCTACTAAACATACAAAAATTAGTTGGGCATGGTAGCATACACCTGTAATCCCAGCTACTTGGGAGGCTGAGGCACAAGAATTGCTTGAACCCGGGAGGCAAAGGTTGCAGTGAACCAAGATCACGCCACTGCACTCCAGCCTAGGTGACAGAGCAAGACTCTGTCTCAAAAAAAAAAAGAGCTTAAGCCAAACTGAGATACGACAGCAAAGGTCCCAATGCATATCCTAAATCTAACAGTGTACCAGAACCACCTGGAAAGCTTGTTAAAAATACAGATGTTCACGCCCCATCTCCTCAAAACTCTGATGCAGATCTAGAGTGGGGCCGTGGAATCTGCATGTATGAAGAGCACCCTCAGGGTATCCTTATGCAGCTTATTCCCCAAACACTAGTCTAGACTGACCCAGATGTCCCTGATTACTGTTCTAGTCTTTCGGACCTAGCTTTACATACACCAAGACACAACCATTCCCTAACCAAGAACAGCTAGTCGTCTACAGTCCTTTTGGGGAAATGGTTATTAGATGTGGGGTGAGCTCAGGGTAGGGGGTGGTGGTGAGTACTGCGTTCTGAACAAGAGGCTGAGTCACTATCAGCCTTTGTTAGGATATGCACAGCCCAAGAGAACTGTCTGAGGACAAAAGGTCATCCCCAGTCTCCCAGCCAGCCAACAGACATTATTCCCTTGGAAGCATTATTTTGGCAGTTTTCTGTGTGTTTTGACTTAAACCATCCAAATGAAGAACAGTAGGTAAGGCCGAAAACAAAGAACAGTTCTACTATTTCATGACTATGACCTGGCACCTCAGTTTCTTTCTCTAAAAGGTATGAGGATTGGACAGAAAGATCTCTAAGGGCCTTTCTAGCTCAAGACCACGCATGAATCAAGCGTGAATAAACTCAGGCCCAGAAACTCCAATAACTGAACACACAACTTTCCTATGCACTGTGTTGTCCTGTACATTGTGATTAGGGTGGTTACTTTCAAATTCGCATATACAACAAAGCTCAAAGCTTAACATGTAAAAAAAGACACATGTAAAACAAAGCTCAGGAAAGCAGTGTCTCTGCCTCAGCATACATTTCATTCCTATTTCGTAGAATCACATATCTGACCTCTGAGTTCAGGGGAGGGCTCAGCAGGCAGCCAGCCAGATTTTATTTTATCACTCTGGCTACAATCATCCTTTAAAGAGAAAAGAGAGCTATGTAAGCAAATGTACCAGCAGGTGCTGGGGACCAACACATCAGAATAAGAACTGAAAAAAAGGAAAATACAATGTCACAGTTCAGAACTTTACAGCAATAGTTACCAAAACATGGAATAAATCCCACTAATTGGCTAACGCCCCCCAAATAAATATTTAATAAGCTAGGCTGTAGCACAAATGAAACTAGTTCCTGAAACTACTGGGGCAAACCAAATCAGAACTACTAAGAATTAAGAGTCTCAGTGTTCTCTGAACTCAGTGGGGGAAAAAGCCCTAGCCTAGGAGTTAAGGAATGTGGGTTGTAGTCCTAGTTCTTGCTGTGTGGTGCTGACTAGGTCACCGCACTGTTTTCTGGGTCTTGGTTTCTTCCACTATAAAACAATGGGGTTGTACTAGCAGCATCTCTAAGGCCCTTTCAATCTCTGACATTCTAGAAGTCTTAGGTAGCCGGACACAGTGGCTCACGCCTGTAATCCCAGCACTTTGGGAGGCTGAGGTGGAAGGATCACGAGGTCAGGAGATCGAGACCATCCTGGTTAACATAGTGAAACCCCGTCTCTACTAAAAATACAAAAAATTAGCCGGGCGTGGTGGCGGGCGCCTGTAGTCTCAGCTACTCAGGAGGCTGAGGCAGGACAATGGCGTGAACCCAGGAGGCAGAGCTTGCAGTGAGCAGATTGCGCCACTGCACTCCAGCCTGGGCGACAGAGCGAGACTGAGACTCCGTCTCAAAAAATAAATAAATAAAATAAATAAAATAAAATAAAAGCCTTAGTCAATGCCTGCCCTTTCCCTTGTTACTTACTGAAGAACTCCACTCACTGTCATCCTGGAGGTTCAGTGAGACCACTTACACTGCTCAACACCCTTCTATTTCCCCTTCTCCCCCCAGCACAATGATTCTGCAACAAACTGCCTGGTGTTCAATTGTCAGCCATTTCAAACTGCTAAAGAAGAAATCCTCCCAGCTATTCTCCATTGCCTTTATGATGCTGCAATCCTTGAGCCCACTGTTACTGCCACTTTCCCCACCTGTGTGCTCCTTGCCATCTAACTTCCAAGTTTCTCTTTGCATAAACTTGGGGCTTAGGTAATTAGGAGCCCAATGACATCCAGAAGATTATTTTTAAAGCCAGTGTTCTGACCCCAAGATCTCCTCCCTCCTATCTCTCCATCAAGAGAAAGATGCTAATTTATGGCCCAGAAAGAGAAGAAGCAGTGTGGCCTTTCTATTAATAGTAGCAAGCCAAGAAACAAGAGATGGATATTCGATGCCTGGGTTTTTCCCTAACAGTTAAGTTGAGCCTTGGTGGAGGTTAGCATGCCCCTTAAGCCAAGGTGGGCTCAGATCCCACACACAAGGTGGCCCTGGAAAGTTACTGCCTCTCTCTGGATTTGATGCTCCCTTTATAAAATGAAAACATATAGTTCATCTCATAAGCCCCCTCTGTCTCTGATAGTGTATGACTATGTGGGGAGGTAGGAACCAGATGAGAGCAAATGCCAGGGCATTACAGGACCAAGCCACCAATCCTGATGCGAACGACAAGCCTTGGAGGAGTGACTCCCAAAACTTGGGTAGCCTGGGTTGATGCTTCCTCTTTCTTTGCAAAATGCTCTGAAGGGTTGGGACTGGGGACGGGGTGGGGCTATAAAAGGATGAGGAAGTATCTAAGAGCAGCTGGTTATTCTTCCACTCACCCTGCCCTCCCCTCTCACAGGCAGGTGGATGACTCAGCTGGAGAACAAAGTGGCTTCCTGAGGTGGAGTTTCCAGCTTGCCCAGTCCTTCCCCATTCTCCAGTCCCAGTAGAGATGGGGTACGGATGAGTCCATAATTCAACACCCTTTTCTCACCACCCAGCCAACACACACTTGCACTGCTCCATCCTCTGTCCCTATATGGAAGATACTTCTCCCTGAGCTTAGCCCCTCCCCCACGCAAACATCAACTTCTCTTTTATCCATATAGGATCATCCCCTGCTCCAAAGCCAACAATTTATTCCCCAAAACTTTAAAGTAGCCCTCACTTTTCTGGTGAAAATGAGAAAAGGCACTATCAACTGGCTGAGGTTCTTTTAGGCATTGAGCTTCAAAGGCTCTCCTACTGCCCTAACTCAGTCAGTCATGGGATATCCCCAAAAAGCGTAAGAGCTTAGCCTTTTTCTCTCAGCTGGGCTTGGCCCCACAGATCAAAGACATTCCTTGTTAAGGGTAAGGTGGAGCTGCTGCAGATACAGTTTGCCTTTAGAGATATGGACAGGAGCACTGGATAACAAGACATGTTGTGAAGGAAAACATCTTGATTGGTATCAAGACAAGATGGTGTTGAGTCCTGACTAAACTACTTACTAACATTAGGAATTACATTAGCAAATTTTCTGAGCTTCACATTCCTCATTCTAAATTAGTAATAGTCCTTTCTGCCCAGCCCTATTCACGATGTAACAAGTTTCAAATAACTTAACTGGAATGAAGACTATCTTAAGTGCTACGTAAAGTGGTTATTCCTTGTGTGTTAGAAAATATGCAGTTGAGGCAGCTGCAATAGCCTTTCTTTAAATACTACTAGTCATCAGCTTCCAAACCAGAAGCTCTGTGCCCTACTGCCTTACTCCTTGGCTGGTGAGTTCAGAGAACCCAAAGTGGGACAGATGGGCCACGCTGGGGTTCTTGGACTTACCACCACTTCCTTGTACTAAAAAACTAAACACCCACTAAGAGGCAAATTTATGTGGCTTGGGCAGGTCACAGTCAAGGGCCCACAGCCACTTTTCCCCATGTGAGCCTCAATCAGCATCTAGGCCTATCTAGCCTCCCTTTAGGCCATGCTGGTGCTGGCTGAGATCGTTCAGTGTCTTGCAAGGATATTTTCTCCTTCTCTCTAGAGTCATATGCTAAAGAGGCCACAATCTTAAGACATGACTAAAGCCAACATCCCTCTCAACTTCTGGGCTAAATTGTGATGGAAAGTGCTCTGAGCCTAGTTCTACAGAGTTTGCTCTGCTACTGATAAGTAGCGTGATCCTGAGGAAGTCAATTCCCACTCTAAATCTCATAAGCAATGACTTCCTCATAAGCAATAAGAGGAGGAGGAGAGATAGTTATTGCTCTACCTATACCACAGAGTGTTGTAAACACTTAAAGGAACTAATGGGTGAACATATTTTTGTACAAGATTGAGGAAATACTACCTGCTGAAACAAACATCAACAGAATGGACATCTACTTTAACAGAAAAGTAAATCCTCTTCCAACCAGTTGCCTTTTATGGGAAATAAGACTACTTGTGGTGGCATACATCTAGCTACTTTGTACATATGGAGTGTTCTGGCTTTCAGGGTCCCAAGGTACATCTAAGTCATCCACTGAGTTACATTATCACTTTCACTTTTTACCATTTTCATTACTCTCACAAGTTGGAGACAGACAGCATAAATAAATAGCAACCCAAAATGTAAACTGTGGTAGTTCTAGTGACAGATCATCCAAGAATTTCACCATCTGCTACCTTTCACAGAAATTTAGTGCTGAGCTGCCTTTTAGATCACTTCTATCAACTCAAGCAACCCAGTGCTTGTGTCTAGTTCCCTTGTCTAGCACAGCCTCACCGATGAAGGTCAGAGCTGCTACATTAGAGTTTACTGCTCTTTCCAGGCAAATCCTGCCTTGCTTGGGACTATGTGCAGGAGGCAGTGATCTTCCCCAAAAGGAGAATGGTATAGAGGCTGAAAGAGGGAATCCCCTTTCCTTCCGTGGCTCCTAGTCACTAAAGAACCTTTCTTCCTCCAGTGAACCTACAGTACCTCATTTCATATTTGGAAACCAGCCTGCATCCTTTTGTACTCTGAAGTCTTGGGGATGGTACAACTATACAACTGAGAGGTGGCAGGAGAGGAAGCATGAGCTCTAGTATCAGAAAGATGCTGCTGAAATGGGTTTCAGTTAGCATTGACAAGAACAGGGTAAGCAACCCAAGAACACGTTATAGGCTTGCTAGAAAACAGGAACTTTCCAAAGGCTAGCTTAAGACTGACGTGCTTTTTACACCTCAATTACACTTCAGTTTACCCTATTCTGATAATGAGCTCCTGGAGGGCAGGGATACTGCTAAGAGTCTGCCACTTACAGGCTGTCAAATTGCTGACATCTGTGCTAAAACATGCACGTCTACTTCTTCTGAACCTAAGCTTCTCAGTCATCGAAAACAATTCAAGCCAGGTGTGGTGGCACGTACTGATAATACCAGCTACTCAGGAGGCTGAGGCGGAAGAATCACTTAAGCGCAGGAGTTTGAGACCAGCCTAGGCAACATCTCAAAAAAGAAGAATTCACAAGAATATCATCACAGAATGCACAGGCCAAGGAGTCCAAAGGCATGGATTCAAGTCTTGGCACTGACATTTACTAGCTGTGTGACTTTAGCTAAGTCACTTCATATCTCTGAGCCTTCATCTCATAAAATGCAACTATCAGCAATCCTTGCAAGAATTTACAAAAATTAAATAATACATGTCAAAGCATATTATGCATATCTTGAATTAATACCTGACTACTAAAAACAAAAATGTTCCTGTCCTCCAAAAACATAAGTTTCTTTGGAAAAAGAACTCTGCCTACCTGGGAGAGCACTTCTCAACACATTTAATAAGTAAATCAATCTTGGATTATCCTGGCTTTTCCAGCCCTAGGATCCTGAAGGCACATAAACTCAACTACAGTCTGCTTCTGGTATTAACATGAAGACTTGTATTCTTGTTTGTCCTAAGAACTCTCTCTTGCCTTGCAGATTACATGAAAGAATCCGTGTGCAGTTCTAGTACTTGTTCCTTGAATAGCAGTGAAAACCCTTACGCCACAATTAAGGACCCACCCATCCTCACCTGCAAGCTTCCAGAAAGCAGCTATGTAGAAATGAAGTCGCCTGTGCACTTGGGGTCTCCGTACACAGATGTGCCATCCTTGTCGACATCTAATAAAAATATATATGAAGTTGGTAGGTGTCTCAAATAAGTAACTTAGTGAAATCAGGGCAATAGTGCAGCATTTGAAGTAAAAGCAAGCCCTCTCCACTCACCCCATCTTGACCACACATCCTTCTTTTGTTGTTTTTTAAGGCATCTCTAAGGTGAACTGTCTTTCCTAGGACTGCCCTCCCTCGCTAATGCAGGAATTATTAAGTTGGTACAAATTATTATATACCAACAAAATTATTAGTTGGTACAAATTATTGTACCAACTCTGCTTTAAAAACCACCAGGACTAATATGAAACAAATACCGGGGGTGGAAAGTGGGTACGCACACACGCGCGCGCACGCACACACACACATACTTCAACTGATTGTTGATACAAATCTCATTTTAAAAAAGAAAGCAATCAGAGACATTGACAAGTTTCTAAATCACCTTCTGCCTTCTCCCAGTTTATGTCCCTGGGCTCACTGATAAGACTCCTACCTCTAGGATATTTTAAATCCTTTTGTGTTGACGAGAGGCTTGGATTTTGACAGCACATTCACTTAGTTTTCCATCTCCTGAGCAAGCCTGAATCCTAAGCCTCATGTATTTGTCATAGATTTATAAATCCCTAGCTCCTTTCCCCAAGTTAAGCAGAACTCTCTTCCTCTCCAACAAGGCAACCAAAGCTAATCTGTTCTCTGAACTCATTTTTCACTATATTTCTTAGAGCCCACAGTCAGTGTGGTCCAAGAAGGTCGCGGTCATAACTCCAGCTATATCCAGAATCCATACGACCTACCTAGGAACAGCCATATTCCTGGTCATTATGACCTCCTCCCAGTAAGACAGAGCCCTGCCAATGGGCCGTCCCAGGACAAGCAATCTTAAGAGGGATAAGCTTCTCTCTTGCAGTGTGCTCTACTGAATATTCTGACTCTCTGAAAGAAGACAATCCCTTGACTTGAAGTAATGGTACAGACTGGCTCCAGCTGCATGTTAGTTATTACGTTCACCTGGAACTAAAGAAGAGCGTCCAGGTGGGACTGGGGTAATTGTTCAAGGAATTGTGTTCTCAAAGGCAAATCCTATCACCCACTCAGCCCCAAATGCCCTGGATATGATTTTTAAAACATTTTAAGATATAACAACTCATCAACGTCAGCTAAATATAGCTGATACATATATATTTATCTGAAACGTGATATTTTAAAAACATGTAGGTTTAACAAACCTTCCTAGGACAAAAAGGAGACTGGGGAGGGAAGAGGATTACTTTAAAGCACCTAAAACGTATATGTACTTTTGGTTGCTGTTATCATCAACATCTGTTTTATTACTGAAGACAATTAGTACATAGACATGAACTGTTCTTAAATAGAACAGTCTTAAAATATCTGTACATGTATGTCTGGTCCATCAAATTACAACAGCCAAGATTACAGAATCTAGTATATAGTCCTATGCTGACAACTTCCATTTTAAAAAACAAGACTTTACTTTCTTCTGCCCCCTAAGTGATAGGTTTAAATACACACAGACACACACACACACACACACACACGTATCCAAAGTGCAGCAACAAGTCTGCAACAAGATTCCTAGGGCAGCTTTATCAAATTTTACCAATTCAAAGTTTAAGGACATTACAAGTCAGTGCTGGCTATGTCATATCTACTTAGTCCATTGAACACCTGAATCATTCCATGTAAAACAGAGCTCTAAGATGATCCTTTAGGTAAGCAGTCACAGACTGGTTGGGATTAAGTATCCCTAAAGACGGCTAGTTGGCCTCCTCATTTCATTTGGTCAGCATCCCTTGACTCAAAAGAATACTTGCTTCCAAGTAGTTCTTCATAAATCTTGGGATTGATGTAGTATGAAACCTAAAAGTATACAGGAAATTGGACAAATGTGGATAAAGGAAATTTACATTGCTTAAAGTACATTACGCTTTTTGATGGAACTAAATGAAATGATCAAAAAAAGAATGAACTGTAACCAGTTGCTGTAACGTGATGTAAAAATGTTACTGTAAACAGCAGGGGATATGAAGTCCTTCCACCTTCTATCTTAAAACTACTACTTACTGAGCTAGCCCAATATGCATTACAATGAGCTAATGCTCCAGATCCCAGTATTCAGATGTGTCTGTACCTTCCACTATGAACATAGATAAACTGAGGCTCAGATGAGTCCAAATGAAGTCAAATCCCAAGCCCTAAAGAGAACCTTCTCACAAGAATTAAAAACAAAAAGGGCAAACCTAGGAAGCTAATGGCTACTCCTGTACCACTCTATTCACTGGTACAGTCCAGCCAGTAAAAAACACTTCCAAAAAGATATACAGAAGAGGAACTAAATGATTACAAAGCTGGAATACTGCTACAGCAAGTATGAGAGTTCTGAAACCCTTGATAGAAATTGGAAGCCTGCCATGGAACACAATACTTTGGGCAATAATCAGAAAAAGCAAAAAAATAAATAAATGAGTACATCTCCCCTTCCCACGTCACTCAAGGCATAAGCAAATTTTACTGTTAGAGGAAAATATATAATACTTACATGAATGCTGCATGTGTGCATGGGAACAACTGATTAGCAATAGTAAATTTACTTTCCAAAAAAGCCTTATTAAAATATAAATATTAGAAAATTACTTTGTAGACCCAAGTAAATATTTCTCATACATATGTAGAAAGAAATATAGGTAAGCGGCTTACCTCAGTATTTCAGGGCAGCAAGTGTTTGTGAAGCAAAGATGAAGAAGCATGAAGATGTCAGATCAGCAAGGAGAAACTTCAACTCAATCCCAGGTTTTCTCTTCTTCCCTTATCCTGCATGTATAATAACTGCTGCCTGGCAAACTGCAAACAAGCAGCGTCACTCAAGTTTCAAGTTTCGCCTCTTTTGTCAACTATCCTCTGGGCAAAGGTATTCAGCAAGAGGTGGAAAGGCTAGGCACTGAATCAAGAGATTTCAGTGTTACTCTGGTCAAGTTAGTTGCGCTCTCTGGGCTCCTTTTTTTTCTATGCATAAAAAAGGGGAGAAGCAGAGTGGGAAGACAGCTCTAATAACCCTTCAGCTCTAGCATTCCATGACTTTTTAAGGAAATGTAATACAAGTCAAACCAGGCAATACAGAGAAGGGAAAGGCAGAAGGTGTGATTATGGTGACAATAGCTGCCTTCACCTATCGAAGAGTTATCAGTAAAAGACATTTCAATCTTACAAAGCAACTGTCAGAAACTTCTAACACCATCACAAATAGGTTCACGGTCAGCCTAAACATGTGCACTGTGCATTTTATGGGTGACTTTGAAAGATCTCAATTATTTTTCAGAAACTAAATTTTCAGACAAATATGTGTACAATTAAAATGAATGAAAGAAAAACCATTATTGTACAGTAGTATTAATGAGACTGTGAAATGGCAATACTTTTTTAAATCACAGATTTGTAATATATATGTTCACTGTGTAGAGGGATTGTACCTTGTACAAAATAAAACAAATTTCTCAAACTAATTTAACAAGAATGCATACTGTTGTGTTGCAAATGGAAAACATGTTTATAATCTACACCTTAAGTTTAAGGGTAGAACTAACCTACATCCTGCTTGGGCACTTTAAACAGCCAGAAGAACGAAAATTATTCTAGTAGATGCTTGAAAATAAGTGAAAAACTTGTATGAAATTTTTGACAGAGGAGTCTCTTTCTTTAAAATAATAAATGTGAGCACCATATTTTTATTCATGTTCAAAAGTTATTTAAAAATCTCATATACATTCAGTATACTAAAATTAGAGGGTTTCTCAGCTTTCACAAATATTTGGACTCAAAGACAACTATTACAGTTTGTGCTCAGCCCCAGAGGCACAAAGGTACTTATATGGAATGAATAAGGGCCAGTGTAAGGGCCACTTAATTTCTATAAATGCAATGAACAGCTTTCCACTAGTAGAAGTTATCATCCAGTAGAGTTACTATGGGTATATCTGTTTTACAAACTTTAAAGACATAAACTTGTGATCAAACTGGTAAAGCAGCAACAGGGTTACTTTTTAATAAAATACAGATGCTAAAATATAGCTTACTGAGTTCATTCAAATAAGTTTAAAATTCCTCCTTCATAGTTCCAAAGGTTTGTATATAATCCTCATATGTATATAACCCTCATATTCTGAAGACCCATTCAGAAGAGATTACTAATAGGTAATTCTCAAGAGCTATGAGTTGACATCTCAGTTAAAGACAAAACATAATCAAGAGTTTTAAGACTAAAAAAGATATTTACTGACAGTAGTGTAAGATTATGCACCACAAGTCTCAGAATATTACTCAGTACTACGAATGATAACTAATGGCCAACTGCTGCAAGTTGTGCACTCAGGAATGACACATTAGCCATTCATTTAACCAGAGGGAAGAAGAGGCCCATTTAATCAATATGCAGCAACAGGAAATGGAAAATCTTTCTATGAAGGGATGAATACATAGGGGGTTCATTGTACTTTTATACTTTCGTATAATTATATATAAGTATATATTTGTATAATTGTAATATATAATTCTGTATAATTTTAATAAAAACTTTAAAATTTGAATAGTAATTCTCAGCTCCCCAAGCTACACCAGAATGAACCCTAAGATTAGCCCTCTCACTCTTTTAGATGGCCCTCCCTAATTGTCCTGACATGGAATTGTCAAGGGGAGGGGGAGATAGATACTATGAATGTAAATACAGGTTGAGTATCCCGTATCCAAAATGCTTGGGACGAGAAGTGTTTCAAATTTGGGATTTTTTCAAATTTCGGAATATCTGCATATACATAATGAGCTATCTTTGGGATGGGACCCAAGTTTAAACATGCAATTCATTTTACATTTCATCTTCACCTTGTACACATAGCCTAAAGGTAATTTTATACAATATTTTTAATAATTTTGTGCATGAAATAAAGTTTGTGTGTATTGAACCATCAGAAAGCAAAGGTGTCACTGTCTCAGCCATCCATGTGGACAATCTGTGGTGGTTTGCAACACCATCATTCCTGACTGTGAATTTCTATGCTACCAATAAGTAATTCATTTTCTTACACTTATTCACACATTCACACTAGTATTTACAAAATATGATCATCAATCATTAATACAGGGAAAAAGAATGTGTTCAGGGTAACTAAGCAGCACAGTAGCATCACCAGAGTATCTGTACCAGCAGTTAAACCACCACCACCACCACCACCACCACCAGCTGGCTTTCAGTCTCCACCTACGATGCTGTTTTGATTGAAAGGTTACTGTACACCTATGCGGGAACACTGAATAAACTGTGTGTGGTGTGCCTGCGTTTTGACTGTGACCTGTCACAAGGTCAGGTGTGAAATTTTCCAACTGTGACATCATGTGAGTGCTCACGTTTTCAATTTTAAAGCATTTTGAATTTTTGGATTACGGATGCTCAACCTGTATGAAAAAACCATGTTCCCTGCCCTTGTGGCTCTTACAATGTAGTGACTACCAAAGGGGAGAGATAAATGGAGAGCCCTGGTGATTAGTGGGGTGCTGATTATGTATTTTCTTCCCTGGGCTTACAGAGCTAGAAAGAATAAACAATGCTCTAATCCAAACCCACAGAAAGTAGAAGCTCTGCTCTTTAGCTTCAGTTGTCAGATTCCCTCCTCATTCCACCTTCTGCTTCCCAAGCCACTGTCCAGTCTAGCACATGGCCTTCCAGATCCTTGGGTAAGAGAAAGCATGGGGACTGTACAAAGTACGGTACTGTTATTTAGGCATCCACTCTAATGTAAATCAAAACTAGTAAATGAGGACCCCAACTGCCTCCTCCAGAATTGGTTTCACATCAAAGACAGCCTATGGAAAGTGTTACTTCTTGGGGCTTCCCAGACTGTCCCATCTCAGGCATGATCTTCTATAGTATTCTTCGGCCCATATGATGAAACACTTTGGCACAGAGGCTAGTACAATGGTCAGCAACTTCTTAAAAGATATGACAAGGAACGGTACCCACTTCCCTAGAGATACCTTAGAAAACGGTATGCTGAGAGATTAGAGGTTGTCAACAGGGGGATAGGCGCTAAAAACAGTACATTATTCATTGGGATGAGAGTTAAAAAGATCTGAGATTTTGTGGTTTGGAGCAAGGTTAAGTTCCACTGACTCAAACACAGTAAAGGAATCCTGTTGGCTGCTAATTCTCACGACCATCACTGGTACTGGTAACATAGCAGTTAGCCAATATACATAACATTTTGTGCTCACACCTGTGTCAGAAACTATCCTATAATTAATAAATGTCAAAGAATTGAATTCAAATAATGTTTTGACTAATTAGATCACCTTATCAACAACCCCAAAATACCATGTATGTCATGTACATGCACACATAAACCTGTACACCTGGATTTAATCACTGGTTCTACTGGATAGCTAGCCTGTGGATTGATCTACCTTCTTGTAGATTCCCATTAAAGAAATAATTTTTTAAAAATTAAACACAAAATGTTTTTAAAAGTTCTCTCCCAGACATGAGTATATTTTAAAGTATATATTAAAAGCCAGCAGTTTTTTTTTTAACAGCAAAAGCCATAAAACAAGCAGTTCTCAATTTACAATATAGCAGCCCATCAAGTGCTCCTCCCCCTTAGCATATATGGTACTTTGATGCATATTATTGATATTAACAGTCATTTTGCAAATAAATGTTCTGAAAGCTTTCATCCTATTTAAAGGAGTAAACATGGAAATAAAGGTACCATTTTAATCAGGCTATTGTGATAAGATCAAAAACATTCCACAAAGTGTATACCTCATTTTGACTTCTCTATTAAATTTAAATTTGAGTTAGAATGTTAATAACTTGGCTTTAATAGAAGAGAGAGTTCATTCAGAGAATTACAGAGTTAGAGTTGGGATGAATCCCCAGAATTTATCTAATCTGGTACTCTCATTAATTGGAAGAATGTGAGGGTGAAGCTCAAAAATGAAATGACCACAAGAGCCATGACTACAAACTCTTCGTTACTCAGTACAGTGCTCTATCATACCAGCTACTTTCACTCTTTTAACCCACAGTTTACCATATTTTCTAATATATGCTAGTATATTGCCTAGTACACAACATCCTTTCAAATATTCTTTCCCTATTCTCCAATTCACTTTTCAGGAGAATAGATAACCTCAATCATATTGATTCTCAGCCTAATGGTCTCCCTTACATAAGTTATAATGACATTAACATTTTGTATCACTTTATTGTTACCATCAACCTCCTACAGTTTGGGGGGAACCAATCATTCTTTAAAACATTAGAATGACAACTCCAGTTTACTTGGCACATTGTATAGGTGAGAGGGAAAGACCTGTCAAATCCCAGAAAGGGGCGTGGCACCAGCACCACTCAACCAGAAGAAAAATCTCTCTTTGGCGCTAGTGTCATAGCTCCCTATCTGTTCTGCTAACCTATTAAATGATGTGGTGGAAGAGGATCCTTTCACAATCTTTGTTCATTTTTTTATAGAGCAAATGGAAGTCATACATAACCTTTTACAAAATTCATTTTTTGTTTTGTTTTCCAGGTTTGTGATATTTGTGAGACATCAGAAAATCAATTTATATTTTTTTCCTCTGTTAAAACAAACAAAGCAAGCCCCCTAAACTGAAACCTAACAGGTTAGAATAAGTTCTTAATTATCCACCCAGCCTCTGAATTATTTTGCTTCCAGTGTGGGCCAAAACTAAGTAGTACAGTTTCTTCTCTAAGGTAGATGGAAGAGATTATAACAATAGCTCAAACCCACTAAATGCATTTGTATTTTATAAATACAAGTCAGCAAAAACAAAAATTAAGATATTCATTTTCTCAATGATCAAAGAAATGTGACCAGCTCTGATGGGCAACCCAAACTCAAGAAGTCTAACTTTTCTGCAGAACCCTTCAGAACTTAAAAGATCACTGATGTAAGGTCACTAGCTGGCACCTCTTCTTATAATTACAATTTAACATATTCAATGCAATGGGCAATAACTTACCCTTACATAATGACAACTACTATTAAAAAGAAATCATGGCATTTGAGAACAATGACGTAAGATTAAATCAAGGCACCATGGCTAACTAACTATTCAGGAGACTATATAACAGGTTAAAAAAAAAATAATTCAAGGCTGGGCACGGTGGCTCACGCCTGTAATCCCAGCAATTTGGGAGGCTGAGGCGGGCAGATCATGAGGTCAGGAGATTGAGACCATCCTGGCTAACATGGTGAAACTCCGTCTCTACTAAAAATACAAAAAATTAGCCGGGCGTGATGGCGGGCGCGTGTAGTCCCAGCTACTCAGGAGGCTGACGCAGAATGGGATGAACCCGGGAGGGGAGGTGAAGCTTGCAGTGAGCGGAGATCGCGCCACTGCACTCCAGCCTGGGTGACAGAGCAAGACTCCATCTCAAAAAAAATAAATAAATAAAAATTTTTTTAAAATTCAAAGTTAAAATAACTGAAAA